AGCGACGAGCACCTGTCGCTGTTTCAGGTTGAGTTCTAGCACTGATGTGTAATTTCACAACCATCCTCCTTGAGTGACAGTGGCTCTCAACCTTCCCGGTGCTGTGACCCTTTAACGTATTTCCTCATGTTGTGGTGACCCCAACCATAAAATTATTTCACTGCTACTTGATAACTGTAACTTTAACTCGGTTTTGAATTGTACTATAAATATCTGATATGCAGGCTATCTGACATGTGATTCCGGGGGGGGGGGGGCGTGACACTCAGGTTGAGAACCTCTGCTTGCTCTGTGGGTACTGGTACACTCACATTCAAGCAAAACACTCATACACGTGAAATGATAAACCTATGAAGAAGCCATGATAGGACATGGTGAGGGCTGGACACGTACTGTAGTTGGTAGCCATGTTAGCTAGCATTCATACAAGCCCTGGGTTAGGTCTCCAAAACCAAGTGCTCTGGGTGTGCTGGCAAGAAGATCCCAGCAGGAGGGTCGGAAATTCAATCCTGCCAACGACACACGAGACTCGGGAAAAAGCTAAGAGTGAGGGCCTGTCTGAGGGAGTCTCATTGCTCCAATCACAGGACGTTCTGGAAAAAGAAAACTATGGAAGCAGTAAAAAGATCACTGGTCCTCAGGGGCTGAGCAGACAGATGAATAGGCACGACTTGGGAAATTTTAAGACAGCACCAGTCTCCATGACTCTGTAATGGTGGACACATACCATGACATGCTTGTTCAAGCCCGGAGAACTGACACCACAGAGGGAAATTGTATAGTGTTACTGGTGGATCCATTAGGGAAAGTTTTGTGTCAGAGAGAGCTCTGTATGTTCCTATAATTTTTCCTGTAGCTTGAAGCTGTTCTATCTCTATCTTTCTGCTTGTGTGTTTGTGTGTGTATGTATGTATGTATTATGTATGTATGTTTGCTTGTTTCTCTTTTGGTGCTGGGATTGGACTCAGGCCTTGCGTGTGTGGAAGACATGCTCCACTGCAGAGCTGTGCCCTCCACTCTACGTTTAGGGCCAGTGAGATGGTTCAGTGGGAAGAAACATGCTGCCAAGCTTGAGGACCTGTGTTGGTGCCTGAGTCGGGTCCCCAGGACCCACGTGTGTAGGAGGAGAGAACCAACTTCAGAAAGTTGCAGGTGGGTACACTGAGGAAGATGTTTGGGCTTTGGCACAGATGATGTAAGCAAAAGAGAACACAGGCCAATAGGGGCTGACAGGAGGGGCTCTGGGGAAGACCAAGTGTCTCTTGCTTGTCGGTGCAGTGGAAAAGGGAAGACGGAAGTGGGAGATAGGCTGTGAGACCAGGCAGGCCTCAGGCCAGCCTGGAACCTTTGACCCTCGAAGAAGCATGTCTAAGCCAGGCCTGGCAATGCTTGCTCCCGGAGTTTTTGCCTGAGGCGGATGATGCGTCCTGGGAGGCTCTCCAAGTCTCCTTTGAACATACTCGGTGGATAAAGCCATCCTATAATTACCATGGGGATAATTAGAGGCACTTTCATGGTCTCTTTCAACAAATATTACACAAGCTATGGCCCACTCATCTTGGGGGTAGGGTTGGAGGAGACCAAAGTACCCCCCTCCCGGGGGCTAGTCAACACCTGAACCCTTGCCAAACACACCTGCCTCCCCGGCCGAGGCTGAGACGTGGAGATTCCCCTGGGACTGTCCAGCTTGGAACGGAGTGCCGCTGGGACAGGCGCTGAAAGTCACTCCTTGAGTGCTGTGGGACGGGCAGTGTCTAGCCAGCGAGTGGGCCTCTAGTTTAGTCCAGCTTCGCCTTCTTAGAGGACTGCAAGCTTGCAGAGATCCTGATGGTGACCCACAGACGCTTTCTATATCCTGACAGTCTCAGCCTTAGACGCTCAAAGTCACCAGGCTCCGGGCTCTCTTGATCTTAGGGACCCTGCACACAGGGTTTCTGGGGCCTGGACGGCCTCCCAGCCCCACCGAGGGCTATTTGGTTCTTGGCATGGAGTTTGTGTGTTTTCCTGAAACACTTTGGGAGCCTCTGGTTTAGATCTCTAGATCTTCATGGACCCCTTTCCCTCCTTTCTTACACCATTTCCCCCACTGAATAGCGTAGGGTCTTCCCTTTTAGCAAGGCTTTGGCTTGTTTTGTCAGCCACTCCTGTTCCATTCACCTCACACTAACTTGGCTTAATCTTGTGTGACTCACTGGGAATCAAAGCCTCAGAGAGTTGCCCAGAGGCACCTGCTTGTCATTTCTGTTTCTTTAGCAACGTGTCTGACCTGTTTTGTTCCTAACTCCCTTGAGAAAGAGTCTGGGCACCTCCCACCGCCACTCCTGCTTCTGGCTTCGGGCCTTTCCCATGGGACCTGAAACCTCACTCATTCGGCTTGGAGACTCAGAAGTGACTGTGTAAGGCTTGAGGTCACAACTGGCTTTCTGTATAAGTACCTTGGAGAATTGTAAGGGTTCCATGAATGTCAAGACTTAGGGTTCTTTGCCGTTTCAGCTCCCCAGGACACCTGTGGGGTTTGTGGCCGGGCAGGCACTTGAAAGCTGGTACCTTTTGGGTAGAGGAAGATGGTTTTATTGAGACCCTGGATTAAACCCTCCCTGACACCTTTACTTGGGCTCTCTGTTGATGCTCAGGGTGGAGGGACAGCTAGAATTTGGCTGGTCTTAGCACCTGGCGTTGGGGAAAGGAAGGCGGAAAGCTTGTGTGTACTTGGCCGCCTTGTGACAGGCTTCCCCTTAGAGAATAGGCAAGGCAGCAGCTCTATGGGTAGAGGCCAACTGATCTACTTGAAGATAGACTCGGGTTGTGTCCTTCCCTACAAGCCTGGATAGGCCTGGGAAATTAGAGCTGCGTTAGAGCCTGGCCTAAGGCTGGGTGAACCACAGAGGATCCATTGCAGGTTGCACGTGTGTGAGCCTTGCTCCCTGTGGAAGGAAGAGATGGGAATTCTGGGAGCAGTGCTGTGTTGATTTGCCAACCATGGTTCTGGATCATGATCATTTCATTCGCAAGTAACTGAGAGCGAGGCCAAGGCTTCAAAGCCTGGCCTCCACCCACCATCTTAGTGTCTTTGCCCGACAGCCTGTAGCACAAATCATCCATCCCCTGCCTGGTTCCAAGCTCAGCCCAGAAACTCCCATTTCTGGGTCTTGCTCTGTGCCGCTCTCCTGCCAAAATGACTTTCCTGTTGTCAGACACTGGTTTTGGGCTGTCTCGATCCTGGGAAAATGTCCTCCAATGCCCCCGGTGTGGGTGGGGGAGCGTTCAGTTCATTGTACCAACCCATCTTTACCTAAGGCTTAGGTTCCTGAGGTTGGTCCCTGCTCTGTTATGTTTACACCCCGGGCACCTTTTGTTCTTGCCTCCTCTCTTTTCCTTTTGTTTTCTTGCTCAGGCTGACCTTAAACTCTGTACGTCAAATTCCCTGTATAGCTGAGGATGACCTTAACCTATATATCTCTTTTTACCTCATTTCTGTAGTTCTAGGATTAAAGTGTCATGTAGTCCAGTTGTGTCGCTGGAAAAATCCTCTATGTGTCCCTTCAGCCCCTGATGACCTTTTAACTGTTTCATACTTATTTTTCCAGAATGTCACGTGGTCAGAAACACTATGTAGCATCCTCAAATACGCTCTTTATCTTTAGATATATTCTTTTCACTCTTCTCCCAGTCTTTATTAATTCGATACAGGGCCTCTTCATGAAGTCTTGGCTGGCCTGGAGCTCACTATGTTGACTAGGCTGTCCTTGAACTCATAGATCTATCTGTCTGCCTCTGCTGGGATTAAACCATGACACTAATCCTTTTTTTTTTTTTTTTTTTAACCTTCTGACAGGGTCTCAGGTAACACTCTACCAACTGAGCTATGCCCATCCACCGTATCTAAAGTAGCCTGCTCCCTTCCTTTATTCTCTGTCCCATTACTCTATTAATAGCTTCACGACTCTGAAATAATCTTCGTGCTTTGGTGAGCTTGAACAACCTATACCTCTTCCCCGAGAATGTGTATGCAAGGACAAGGGCCCAGGTGAAGGAGCTGACGCCTAGCGGGCACCCAGCAAGGATGTGCTGACAGGTTCCACGAAGACGAGCATGTATATAGCATTTTACTTTGGCACCAGGCACCGCGAGGGCTATTTGCTGAACCCAACGAGGGAACCCTGCAAGGCGGGGACCAGAATGCAGCGCTCGGCCCACCACAAGACAGTTGACTGGCAGTTGAGGACCCGGGCCCGCCGACGGTTGATGCAAGGTTGACAGCTGAGTGGCAGTCAACCGACGCGCACCGGGGCCGCTCGGCAGGGAAGGGGCCTAGCAGCCGGCGCCCGCCGCCAACCGTAGCCTCGAGCCTAGCCGAGCGCTCCGCGCATGGGCCGCGCGCGGGGGGCGGACGCGCGCGGGTCACGTGAGCGTGTTTTGGGCACGTGACGCGCGGCCCGGGCTCGCCCCCGCCCGCTCCCTCCTCCCTCGGCGGGTGTGCTCCGAGCGGCCTCGCCTCACCGCCTAGCGCCCCCCTCAGCCGTTGCCGCCGCCGCCGCCGCCGCCGGCCATGTCCCCCGGCCGCCGCCGCCGCCGCCCGAGCGCGGCGCTCCCG